AATTAGGATGCTCTAAACAGAGCATACTCACTTGGTCAACTAGGAAATAAAATATTCGACAGAGAAAGACACTGGGGATATATGCCTTTCTTGGCCTTCCTGCTAGATATAAAGCCATAAGAAAAAAAAAGAATCTTGAAAGATACTTCTAACTATAAACCTGCATGTTGAATTTGCATTACCCGTATAGTATAGAAAATCTTAAGCCAAAAACACAGAGTAAAGCAGTCCTGGCCTTCTATGAATGTCTTGCCATCCTACCTCAAAACTATACAAGGAGATATAGATATAAAAAAGTCAAAACTACACTTCATCAAGCTTCTGAATCCAATGACCAATTATTTTTTTCTATTTTTTAAGTTTATTTATTGTTGGGGGGGCATTCAGAGAGAGAGAGAGAGAGAGAGAGAGAGAGAGAATCCCAAGTAGGCTCTGTGCTGTCAGCATGGAGCCTGACATGGGACTTGATCTCACAAACCATGAGATCATGACCTGAGCCAAAATCAAGAGTTGGACACTTGACCAACTGAGCCACCCAGGTGCTCCCCAATGACCAACTTAAAAGAAATACAGAAGACAAAAGAACATACTAAATGACAATACAGGGAAGCAAGCACCATGATCTAGACTAACTCACATTCAGCAATACAAATGTAGAAGATTTTATTTTTCAAAAATGACTAAAAAAAAATCTCCTACCCTGTATATTTTTCTACAATGTAAAATTGCTATTCCTCCATCAAACAATGGAGCCCTTCCTCACCCCATTAAATGGACTATTTTCACCAATCAACTATAGCAAAATAAAGAATAAAGCTATGCCAGTTGTAGGTGTAACTATGAAATGGTCTTGCATCTTCCACTCTTAATTCTTGGAAGTCAGCTTCCATGTATCAAGTACAAATAACAAGATCACCATGCTTCAAGAAGCCTAACCCACACAGAAAGGCTCTGAAGGATGAAATGCAATGTGGTGAAAGAAAAGACAGACAAACAAACAGACAGACACACCAAGAAATATCAAGGTACTAGGCATGTGAGACATGTGAGTGAGTGAAGAAGCCATCCTGGACAATCAGCCCAGTCAACCCTTCAGATGTCACTAACTGCAGAGGCAGGAGAGACTTCAAGCAAGAAGTATCCATATGAATCCTGTAAACTCAAAGAAACATAAGAGATGATAATAAATTGTTTTAATTCACTAAATTTTCAGGTGGCTTGTTATATAGCAAAAGATTAACAGAATATCAACCTGGTTGTCTTCAACAAATAAATTACTAGGAAACCAACCAGACTGATGGAGGGAGAAGAAAACTTATGGACTAAAAGTTTATAAAAGATTTAAGATAATAAGGTTTGAGCTTTTTTGGATCCTGATTTAAACAAATAAACTATATTTTATTATATTTATGACACATTCATAAATTTAAATGTTGACTGGGTAGTTGATGATATTATGGAATTGTGTTAACTTCTTTTAGACTCATAGTGGTGTTGTGGCCATGCTTTTAAAAAGGAATGTTATCTTTAGAAGAAGTATATACTCTAAAGTTTATGGATAATATGGAATGCTGGCTATACTCACGTCAAAGTATTATAGGAAGGGGATACAATGATGAGGATTTAAAGGACACAAGACTGGACGTGAGTCAATAATTGCTAGAGCTGGGTGATAAATATCTGAAGTTATACCATCTGTCCACTTTTACATATGTTTAAAACTTTCTATAATAAAAGACTTTTTATTATAAGAATAAATAAAAGTAAAGAGTGCCTGGGTGGGTTGGACTCTCCTATACTTTCCAGAAGCAAATAAAATCTTCTCCAGCCTTCTCTGGAAGGTTTGGAAGCATTTGCACAGGAAAATTAGCTTATAACTATTTCCTTAAAAAAAAAAAAAAAAGACAATGGGAAGACACACCAGAAGTAAGAGAGTAACAAAAAAAAAAAAGTGCAAAATCAAACCTGCAAAGACAGCAAAGGTATAAAGTAATAAAAGAGTATATGGAAAAATAATAAAGAAGTTCAGAACTATCAACATTGGACAGAAATATTTGGAAAAGAACAGAATAGAACTTCTAAATAAAAAAAAAAGTATAATTCTTGAAAGGAAAAATTCAGTGGCTGCTTCGCTGATAGAATAGAACTAACAAAACAAAGAATTTAATAAAGAGAAAGAACTGAAGAAATCACGCAAAACATAACACAGAGATCAAAAGACAGGAAATGTATAATAAAACACCACCAAGAACAAAAATAAAAACCCTCAAACCAAAAACAGATTAGTAGAAATGGAGCACAAGATGGAGATACATGGTAAAATTCTACTTGGAATTCCAAAAGGATGTATTAGAGATTGAAAGAGCCAGACTTACAAAATTCTACAACTGATAAAAGACAGGAAGATTCAATAATCTAATAATTGATAAAAGACTAGAAACCCAAGTATCTAACATATAATAAAAAGAAATCTATGCTGACACAAGTTATAGTGAAACTCCAGGACAAAGACAAAAGAGATGATGATAAACGCATCCAAAAGACACAAATGATGACTTACCAAGGACTGAAAAGTATATTGACGGTTCACTTATACGAAAGTCAGAAATATTGGAAAACAGTTTCTACATGCTGGAAGAAAGAGCTTTTAATCTACAGTTATATATCCAGAGAAACCATCTTTCAAGAATGGAAGTGAGACAAACACATGTTCAGACAAACATAAATGAGAGTGTTTACCACCCAAAGATCCCCCCAAGAAAAAAATTTCAAAAGTCTAGTAAATAAGTACTATTTAAAGGAAATAATTCAGTCTAAAGAACTCTTCCAAAATGGAAGATCTGAAAGAAAAAAAAGACAGGAAGGAAGGAAGTAGAAAAGGAGCAAAGAATAGAGTAAATTTGCATATAATTCTAAAAATACTGACCATGTCTAATTAGATTTTAAAATCCAAATAGCAATCAAATCTAGGTAATAACATAAGACTCAGGAAGGAATATCAACATTAAAGTATTCTTTAGCCATTAGCATTTTTCAGCAGAAGGATAAACACACTGAATAACTTCAGAACTTAAATATGCATATTAAAATACACAACATAATCACTACAAGAAAAGATAAAGTGTATAACTTCCAAACTAACAGAAAACAAATTAGAATGAAGACAATAAAACAATAAAACTGTATCAACCTAAAAGAGGGCAAGAAAGGAGAATAAAAAAAGAAAGAACAGTTAGGCAAATAGAAAGTAAGGAAAGTAGAAAGCAAAAATAATGTGGTAAAAATGAATCCAAATCTATCAGTCATCACTATCTATTTAAATGGATTCTATATTTTAGTTAAGATAAAAGACTGTAAAAATGGATCCTATGCGTTATTTACAAAGAGACACGAGACACAAGGTATATTGTAGGTAAAAGACTGGAAAAATACCTACCAGGGAAGTGAAAATTAAGTTACCAAACCTTTAGTAGTACAAAATAAAATAAGTTTTAAGGCAAAAGCATTGTTAGAAATAGAGAGTGCCACATAAAAAGTTCAATTCATTGGAAAGACAAAATAGATACAAACGTGGATGTACTTAACAACACGGTTTCAAAACAAATAAAGCAAATATTAACAGAAAACAATGATATGTACAAAAACTTCAAAGTAGTAAAAAACTGCTTCTTTGAAAAAAACTAATAAAATTAACAAACTTCAGGCTAAACTGATCACGGAAAATAAAAATCACAAATCAGGGGTCCCTGCATGGCTCAGTCAGTTACGTCTGACTTTGGCTCAGGTTGTGATCTCATGGTTCGTGGGTTCAAGCCAGATTGGGCTCAGAGCCTGGAGCCTGCTTTGGATTCTGTGTCTCCCTCTCTCTGCCCCTCCCCAGCTCACACTCTGTCTCTCTCTTTTGAAAAATAAATGTCAAAATAAATAAATAAATAAATAAGTGAGTGAGTGAATGAATGAATAAACAAACAAATTTTTTTAAAGCACAGATCAATAACATTAGGAATTTAAAGGGAAAACTAACATCCTGATTAGGGAAAAAAAAAACCCCAAAAGATAATACTATAAACAACATATCAATAAATTTGAAAATACTGGGGAAATGGAACAAAATATAGAAAAGCATAAGTTACCAAAATAGAAAAATAGAAATTATGAATATTTTATAACTATTAGAACATTTTGATCATCAGTTTTATAAGTTCCACATAGAAACTACTCTCAGACCAGATAGTTTTACAAGCATGTTTGATTATTCAAAGAAAAGATAACTGGCATATTATACATAATAAAGAAAGTATTGCATTCTATTTGAGAGAATGGAATGGAAATGGAATAGGAGAAACACCCCAGCTCTTTTATAAGAATAATATATTCCTGATACTAAAATCAGACAGGGACACTATGAGAAAGAAAACCTGCAAGCCAATGTTACTCTTAAATAGATGCAAAAATCCCATATATATGCATATATATTATAATATACTTGTATATATTATACATTATGTATCATTACAATTTATATATAAATATGAAAACTATGTATTAAAAAACTCTATATTCTACCAGGTTTCAAGGTTGGTAAGATGACAGAAAATCTATCACTGTCACTCACCAAGTCAACAGATTAAAAACAAACAAACCTGCTTTTATCTCAATAGCTTCAGAAAAAGTATTTGTCACTGTCTTCATTAAGGACAGTTACCTCATTAAAATGAGATGAAGGATGACAGTGGCTGGGTGGTAAACAGCTTCTACTCCCCTCTTTGGTGAGAGGAAACATGATTTCAAACAACTTTTTCAGATTTAAATGGAGTCTACCCTACAGTATTCTACTGAGGAGATGTGTCAACACAAAGTGGTCTGTGACTCTGCCAAGTCAGAAGGAATATGAGCTGTAATATAACTCAATAAAACTGTCTTGGTTTCGAAGAAATTGGTATTTTCCAGTCCAAAAAAGAAAGTGGAAGGCAATGATAACCACTACTATGAACAGTTACCTTGAGTTTATGTTCCTTCCTGTTCACGATCACAGCTGTGATTTGCTGGTCCATGAAAATCAGAATGGTGACCAACAAAGCAGGGATCGCAGCCGCAAGGTACACCCACCAGGGGTTTCCTCCAAAGGGTGGGACAAACCAACCTCGGTTTGGACTTGTTGGCTTGAAGAAGAAAGAGAACATTTTCAAAACAATATGAATACATACTATTTGGTGAAAAGTCAATGGGAGAGACCCATTTTTATTTCTGGAGAGCCAACATACTCAAAAACAGAAACAGTTTTACTGATAGGTTAAACAAAGATTGTCACCAAAGGTTTCCTAAAGGTGGTTACTTTCAGTTTTTTAAATGGAGGGAGACTAAGAATACAGGTTGAGGGAAAACAAGTAAATGCCATTTTGTGTATTTAGGAGGATCTAAGATGAGGACTCAAGATGGAAGAAAGTGACTTAAAGAGCAGCCATAAGAAAAACCCAAATGTAATGGTAAAGACACAGACAAGAAATTAAAAAACGACAATGAATTTTGTTCATGAATTTTAGCAATTATAATGAAGTTATTTCTCTACTGCCAAAGCTTCACATATCATATAGAAAAAGCTACAAATATTTTTTATATGTTATAATTGAACTTGTTTAATACTCTGTTCCTTCTTATACATGTGAAAAATGATCCAGAATAACTGGTTAAATCCTCAGAAATGTTACCAAAAATGAAAAAGATGATCATTCTTCCAGTTCTCTTTGAATATTTTTCTAACGTTAAATAATGCAAATAAACGAAAATAGAATCCTATAAATTCTTTTCTCTATGTTTACTATCAAGAAAGTCTCACTTCTCTGAAAATATTTGTCTTCCATCTCCTTTTGCTCATAACCACATCACTGAATCCATTCGCATTTTACTCCTTTACCAGGTTGTGAGCTTGGAAGGGAAATAACTTTCTCTTGTTCATCAGTACATTTCATATCTCCTGTAAAAGGCCTGACGCAAGCAAACATTCAATATTGACTTAAATGAACTAATCACTGGATGATTGAAAACTTCTGTTTGCAAATGAATATGAGATGGCACAGTTAATGCAACAAACATTCTGTCTGCTACACCATAGGTACCCCTTCCTCACTAAGTAGTTATTAAACTTAAAAAAAAACCCCACAGTTTAATTTTTCTTAGCAAGTATGTGGTGATAGAGAGAGAGGCTAGGAGTGCTCTATAAAACAGGTGAAAGACATAATGAAAAATGAGACAGGGCTATATAAGAATGACTAAAATGCAAATTTTACCCATTAGGCCTGCACACACCAACAGATTTATAAAATGAAAAATTCTTGTATCTTCTTTGTAATAATTTAATATTTTTTTAACATTTATTTATTTTTGGGACAGGAAGAGACAGAGTATGAGCAGGGATGGGGCAGAGATTGAGGGAGATACGGAATCTGAAGCAGACTCCAGGCTCTGAGCTAGCTGTCAGCACAGAGCCTGACGCAGGGCTTGAACTCACAAACCATGAGATCATGACCCGAGCCGAAGTCAAACGCCCAACTGACTGAGCCACCCAGGCACCTCTTCTTTGTAATAATTAAAAACCACATTATATATAAACATATGTATATATGGCAGGTAGTTAGGTAGCAGGAAAAGAGCACTGAATTAGCAATATAATCTTAGGCATTTTCCTTAATCTTTCTGAGCTTCAATATCAACTTCATGAAATCAGGATGATGATAGTTGCATTACATCTTAGAATTATTATATGGACCAAGGGGATAACTTGTATGAAAATACTTTGGCTCATTTTAAATACTCTGCATATATAAAGCAGAGTTTGTATTTTTCAATACAACTCAGTATAATGTGAACTTTGTGTTTGATCCTAATCAGACAGTCAATTTTAGTGAAGAAACAGACAAAGTATATATATGCACCTAGCAAAAGACCATTTCTGAAATAAGGAAATAGATAATCCTACAAAATTAACTCAAAAACATATGACAAACTAGAGAGGAAAGAAATCCATAGAGCTCCAAGAACACTAAAAGCCGAAGTTCACCTACCTTGAACTCGCTTGGCACAATTAGTTTTGGAGTATCCACACCCACCAGGGCATCTATTACACAAAAGATTAGAATGGACAAGATAATGGCGAAGTCACTGATCAGTTTTCTTGCCTGAAAAAAATTAAAAAGAAACCAAGAACCATTTAGTGTCGGATTAATATATTTGCCTGTGTTGGAAATGAACAAAGAATTCTGCCTTTACAGTAACAGCTTCACCAGCAAATTAAAGGAGGTGAGGTGTCACACTGTAGAGAGATTGTTTTTCAAATGGTTTTTGCCATCGCTTTCTCATCTAGCCAGAAATAATCGAACTCCACAAAAGAAAGTGTGCATGTGTGTGTGTGTGTGCGCGCGTGCATGTGCACACAGGCAGGGAAGAGAAGTCACAAATAATATATTCCTGAAATACTGTACAAATACTCTTCCTGTATGCAGCACAAAGGATACCTAGATAAGGGTGAAATCTCAAGGCATACTGTGAAAACCTACACAAAAATATAGAATTCTATTTATAATTTGGGAATTGTATGTAGCAAGATAATTCCATAAGGTAACCTGAAAACACTGAGAATCTTGCAGGAAAGGGGTTACAAGTTCGAGATGACTTAGTGGACTCAAGACCTCAGAGAAAGATGACGTGATGGAAGATGGAGATTTGAGGACATTGCTAACATTGTCAAAGAAAATGTTCTTCACTCAAAGTTAGTGCTTAAAATCTCTGTATGTGAGGCATCTCTTCTCTACCACTTTTAAAATGTGGCTGCCATTAGCTGACAAACTTGGAGCTTCCTAAATACCTACCTCTTGTCAGGACAGGGGCTGGGGTTTCGGGGAATAGGAAACCTTTCCCATGGAGTGGGTGCGGAATGGTCGTTTCTGAGTCAGTAGGGAAACACACAGTGTCTAGTGGCACAGACAATGACCTGGGAACATTACTAGAGCACAGGCACTTGAGTTTACCCATGAGGTTTATACACATGGTGGTGCATAATCTGATCAAATTCAACAAGAATTTACTCACTAGCTTATACTTTGATTGGGTGCTAGGGATACCACAGTGAACAAAACAGACACAATCCATGTCTTCATGAAGGGCACATACCCAAGAATGACTCCTCTTCCTAAACAAATCAGGGTTGATTCAGTAGTTGTCAAGTTACCTCAGGGTGAGCAGTCAGTGTTCTGGTATTGCTAGATGAAGACAGATCAGGGAGGAACTGAGTGGCTGCACAATTCTCAGGACAAGGGGTCATTTCAAAGAGTAGTGGGACTACTCCTTCAGTCAGATGTTCAGTAGGAATGAAATGGAGGAACAGAAGTCCTTGGCAAAGTGGGTATGCTGAAGGCCATGTAGTGCTCTCTTCTCGACCACTGCCCAGTGCCAGGAGCCTTGGGTCCTAACTAGCAGCAAGACCAAAGATGGTGTATTTGGCTATAAATTCCTTTTCTTTTTGAAGGGCTGGACTTTGCTAGGCTTAGCTCTTCTAAGAGCTACACACAAAAAAGCAGAAAGCCAGCTGTGGGATATATTAGGGGCAGGTTAACACCAATCATATAGTAACGTCAAACACAAGTGAATGACAGGGATCAATCTGGGGAGGAAAATACAGAGCAGCAGTTAGGAGCAGTTTCTATAGTCAGATGACCTGGGTTGGAATACTAGCACCATTATTTCCTATGCAAAAATATCTATCCTTTCTTAGCTTCAATTACTCCATCTGCAAAGTGTAGTCAAAATAATCCCTACAAACTTTATCAGTTTGTTATAAGAATTAAATAAGATTAAGCCATGAAAGTTTTTATCATAACATCTGAAACACAGTAGACTCTCCTAATATATGTTAACTATTATTATTTCCTCAAGTTCCATGAGGTCCCTTTGGATGCCGAAACCACTGGAATAACTAAATAGCCTACCATCAGGAGGTCTTTAGAAAGAATCATCAATTCCAAGAAACAAGATATGATATGGGAGCCTAGTAATAATATGGAACTGCCACTCAACCAATTTTGGTTGGAAGTATTTGGAGTCCCTGCAGAAAAAGGATGTTTGCCAGGGCTCGGTACTGGAGGAAACTCCCATTTCTTAAGTTTTGTACAAGTGAGTGTTGGCAGAGGCAATTCAGGATGGTCTGGCAAAGATGGTCACGTGAAGCAGGCTCAGGAAATATTAAGATTTATAATGATCTCTCCGATCCAGTAGGTCATAAATCACTGCAAGACCAGAGGTCTTTCTGCAAAGGCAAAAAGTTCTCTTTTTTATCACCCTCTTAGGCCTCACCCAGAAAATCCAATTTGTTGACAATTTAGATGTGCTAGAAGTTGTTCAAAAGGGGTGGAGAGTGGTTATTAAAAACACAGTGCTCCTCCTTTTCCTCATAAACAGAAGAGAAGTAGAGGGTAGCAAATGAATTCAATCTGCAATTCCTTGGTAGAAAGCCCCAGAGGGACTGTACCTCTGGCCCACTAGGGGACAGGTCTGCATTACTGGAAACACTACCAGACACCTGGGACGTGCTGCTTCCTTAGTTAGAAGAGGTATTCTTAGCCTTCCATAAACTAAACACTGAGGCCCTAAATCTGCTCTTTCAGTAGTTCTCTTAATCTTAATTAATGGCAGCTTATTTTTTCCTATGGCTTCAGCCAAAAACCATCCACATAACTCTTCTCTTTCTCTCAGATCCTACGTCTAACAGGTCAGCAAATTACCTTCAAAACATATTCAGGATGCTATCATTTCTCACCACCCCCATTGCTCCTTTGTCTAAGGCACCACTTTATTCCTGTGGTTTCCTTCCTATCTCATCTTCCCGATTCTACACTTGCTCCCCTTCAGTACACTGTCAAGGTATCCCAGAATAATCATGTTAAAATTTTGCTCAGATGATGTGGTAGGCAAAACAATGCCCCCTATGGAAGTATATGTCCTACTTCCTGGAAACTATGAGTATGTAATGTGGCATGGCTAGAGAGAAATGGGTTGCACATAGAATTAAGGTTGCTAATCAGATAACTGAGATTGGAGAAAGGATCCGGGATCATTCCGGTGGGTCCAATGTAATCACCAGGGTTCTCATGGATAAAAGGGGGAGCTAGAAGGGCCCGTGTCAGAGTGACGTGCTGTGGAAAAGATTCAGCTGGCCACTGTGGGCTTTGAAGATGGAGGAAAGGGCCATGAGCCAAGGAATGTAGGCAGCCTCTAAAAACTGAGAAAGGCAAGGGAATGCATTCTTTCCCAGAGCCTCCAGAAAGAACACAGCTTGTCAATTCCTTGACATTAGCCATTGAGACCCATTTCAGTCTTCAGACCTCCATATCTCAAGACGATAAATTTGTATTGTTTTAAGCGATCACATATGTGATAATTTGATATGGCAGCCATGGGAAACTAATATAAATAGATAACCTTTTTTAGTTTAGTTATTAGTTTCCCAAATTTAGATATATGTAGAAGAAATATAATATAGATGTGCAAGAATTATATATACTTCATATATAATATATACAACACAAATATATATTGGAAGAACTTCGACAATGATATTTTTGTCAAGTATGGCGCTATTATACCATAAGTTTAGAAGCAGCTAAAAAAATAAATGTTAATAAGATTCAAAATTATATTTCTTAAAATTTATGGGGAAAAAAGGCTACTTTATTAATAATATTGCTTAAACTTATTAAAAATCACAGCCGGGGTGATATGTTCTATATAAAATGTTCTATATAAAATACTCACTTCTATTTCCCCATCCTTCCCCTGAAATTGTACAACACGGCTCAGTTACAGCAGAAACCACTCCTGGAGAGTGTTTATTGTCAGCCACGCATTTCTAAGACACTAGATCCAGTTTAAACTTCATAGTAAGGAAATTGATTTTTCCCGGGCCACTTTTGTTTTTGACTCCAAATCCTCTAATTGGAGAAGGCAGGTAGGGGTGCTATTTTAGTAGGCTGTTCAGGACTAACCCTATACTAAAAGTAAACTTTAATTTGAATGAGGTAAAACTGACAGTAGAACTAGAAAGTGCTCTAAAAATGTCAAGTACTGAGTAAATACAGCTTTTACTAGATACACTCTAGGACCTGTGAAGAAGAGCTTTGAGTCTGACTTTAAGGAGGTAAGAATCACTCTCTTAATGTTCTTCGCACATTTCCAACCACACTTAGAAAAAAAAAATACATGAAGTTCCCTTCATTTTACCTTCCATTTTCATCAAACTTGAGCACTTTCAAAAACCCTAAAACAGCACCCTTTTATGTGCCAATATGTAAATAAAGAAATCAAATTAGAAACCCATAGTTCTTGGGACACTTGGGTGGCTCAGTTGATTAAGCATCTGACTTAGGTTCAGGTCATGATCTCACACTTTGTGAGTTTGAGCCTCATATCAGTCTTTGTGCTGACAGTTCAGAGCCTGGAGCCTGCTTCAGATTCTGTGTTTCCCTCTCTCTCTACCCTCCCCTGTTTGCACCTCTGTCTCCCTCTCTCAAAAATAAATAAACATAGAATAAAAATTTTTAATTAAAAAAAAAGGAAATCCATAGTTCTTAATTCCCATCTAGATCTTACTGGTCATGATTAGAGGTGCCAAAGTTTTCATGAGAAACAAGTTTTCACAAGATTTCATGTCCAATCTTGTGGATTTGGAGGCCCCAAATCCAGCTTGGACAGACATAACCCGTGGGTGTCCCTGTAGCCAAACACAAAGTCTCTACAGGTTCAAACTTCACTATCCTAGGGATATAAACTACAGCAATCTAAGTTAAACACAAACTAAGAGAAATTATACATAGCAAGGGCTTTATATAAACAAAAACAGTTGTTTTTTAATGGTACAGTGATGTGCTACAATGTGTAAGATAATTCCTACCTCCTTTCATGAATAAGGCAAAGAAAAATGTTTTTCAATTAAGATTCTTTTATATAAGGCTGGTTTTGAGCTTTTTGTTTGTTTGTTTGTTTACCATTTTTCAATTATAAAAATGAAGGAGAAAAATATTTCTGTCCTCTACAAAATGAATTATAAAACATCATGACTAATCTAATAAGAAACAATCAGCTTAACTATTTAAACTACCAGAGCATAGAAGAAATGACATGGATGGGA